TTTCAGCACTGGTCTAAATATTTCACTTGGTCAAAGTTCCCCCCTACCCACTCTTAACCTACTTTCTCCAAATGTGCTAAACTATCAACGTTGTATCACTTTTGTTGTCTTTACAAAATATCTTACTTTATGACATATGCTTCTGGTTTTTTTCTGTTTCTAAGGAAGTCAGAAATTTTCAGAACTATCATTTTAAATTAAAAATACACCTGTCAAATTGTTGTTAGATTGTGAAATTTTCTTTTGTAAAACTAGTGTTGTTATATAGGACCTAAAAGAATCAGGTACTATATTGGACCAATTTGTCTTTTGAATAAATTAAAAAAGTAACAATGCAATATAATGTATGTATATAATGTATGTATCAATATAATCAACATTGTTCACATGATTAAGAAACAGATATATCCACCCTGTTTTATACCCTGCTTAGTCATACCTCATTAGAATGCTTATGTGAGAGTCTATGCATATATAAAACAAATTTTTGTAATTTTTTGAGTATTCCTTTGGATTTCATAAGGAAATCATGATTCCTTAAAGGTATAGGACTGACAAGTAAGAAATATCATCTGATATATTTAAATAAAGTACCCTTTTTGTGACTATCTTATCATTAACATTTTGGAGCTGTATTCAGAAAGCATGAAATCATGTATGTTTTTTGTTTGTTTTTCGGAAATGTTTAGCTTATGCAAGGATTTCTATTAAGGCAAAGAACAATCTGTAAGAGAGAATGTGGACTACTAGGCTTAAGACAGAGCATGTACGTCTATACACAGCATGTACACATGTAATTAACAAATTAAATATAAGAGTGAAAGTTTCCTACTCTAAAGAAACACATTACAGAGCTAACTTTTTAATCTTTTATTCACCTATAAAGAATTGCTCCAAGATAAGAACCAACATTCACAGAGTTAATCTAGGCATTACATTAATAACAGTATTAAGAAAAATATTTAATGTAGAAGCAAGAATGGAGGGTAAAGTTTTCTGCAAGAGAAGCTCTTATGTCTGGCTCATAGAGGGATGGAGTAGCTTTGTAGAGTGGGCAGCAAAGAGATTACTGGTTTTCATTTATTAGAAGAGTGAAACATTTAAGAAGGTATGAATAATGCTATAATTAAAATGTAATAGAACAAATTATAGAATGCCACAAAATTTTATTGTGCTCTTTATTGAGCTCTTGGTTATCAAAAACACACTATCCAAAAAAAAAGCACAATATTTAAAGGTGATAAGTCCTTTGAAAGCACATATATGTTAAAATGGATGTTATATCCTAACTTAAGCCATTTTAGTGAAAGGAGAAATATTTCAAAATACTTTTAGCTGTCTAAAATTTTAGATATTATAACTTTATTTTAAAACCATCTGAGTTTTTTTTTATTATTTCTACTAAGCTTAATTGTTTAAGCATTAGGACTTTTTTGTGATGAAAATAAACTTCTGTCAAAAATATACCAAAACCAACCCCCAAAGCACCCAAACTTTTAATGCTTACAAATACATATGCATTCCTTATTATGTATTTTTTCATTTATTTTTAATATTAATAAAAACTATCACCAAACATGGTTGATTGTTGTCTTAAATAAAATATACAGCATGAATAGGAACAAAGTCCAAACCATTTATTTTGATGCATTTCCTTTCCAAAAACCTTGCTCATTTATTATAAGTAATTACTTTACAAAGGCTGTTCTTCCAAAGTTGAAAATGTAAGTTTATATTTCATTTTATTACGTGTGTATAGCAATTTCCTAGAAATAAGAAGAGTCTTTGGTTTCTGAATATTAAGGAGAAATTAATTTTCTGTGAGTTCAAAGTTCAAACAAGTTTAAAACTTCTCATTTACCATTTCTTTTCCTACACTGGGGGGGGGGGGGAACATCCATTATTTTCTCCACAGTTATGATCATGATCTGCTCCCTTAGCTTTTATCCGTCAACCTGCTGAGTAATGAAGTGAATGCAGTTAAAATGCTGTTGCCCATGGGATCATAGACAGCCTACTCCTCAAGGCAAGAGTTATTTGCAGGGGTTTGTGGGGTCATTCTTCCCTCCCATCACAGATACTTAACCTTTGTTTGGTTGAAATTAAAAGCTACTCCTTTATTGCCAAGCAATATTGGTGTTTTTATTTCATAAATATCCATTTCATATTTTTACTTCATAAATATTCATTCCATCCCAGTCCCACACACCAGAGTCTTTCAAATAAATGTTCCCAAAAGATTAAAAATGTTGCCATTGAGTATATGTCCTTGAACTTTCTTTTAACTGTGATTCTTTCTAATGAAGTCCTAGGGACTGACTCCTAAGGTAGCTCAGGAAATATCCACATTTCTGAACGTTTTAAAGACTTAAAAAACGATAACAGGAGAGATGGAAACTTTCAATACCCGATAAGACATGTCCACAAACATAACTACTCTTTGTAAGTTAATAATTCAGATATACTATTTCCTTGGGTGGTCTGTACTCCAAAGAAAGTCCTGATAGTTCTGCTGTGTACAATAGAGGCACTTTTTCTCCAAGGTAGGCTGAGGAAAAAACTCTTAAAACAAATCCAGGCACATTATAAACCACTTTTTTTTTTTTCTTTTTGGTGAGGCAATTGGGGTTAAGTGACTTGCCCAGGGTCACACAGCTAATAACTGTCAACTGTCTGAGGCTTAATTTGAAGTCAGGTCCCCCTGACTCCAAGGCTGGATATCTATCCACTGCGTCACCAAGCTGTCCCATAAACCACTTTCACAGTAATGGTAGCTAACTAATAATAGCTAACATTTATATTATTTGTTATATATAGCTTACTACGTGCCAGACACTGTGCTAAGCACTTCATAATTATTATCTCATTTGATACTCACAACAACCCTGGGAGGTAGGTGGTTATTATTGTCCATATTTTACAGAGAGGAAACTGAGGCAAAGAGAGGTTAAATGACTTGTCCAGAGTCATATATCTACTAAGTGTCTGAGACCAGATTTGTACTGAGGACTTCCTGATTCCAGGCACTCTATCCATTGAACCACCTTGCTGCCTTTGTAATCCTCCCCCTTCTCCTCCTCCCCATCATCACCATTACCACCACCGCCATCATTACCACATTATAATCGGAGAGATGACTCTAGTAATCTAGAGGTTTTAATAATTTTACATATTTTCTGAGGATTTGGGAGTTGCTCAATGACTATATTACTGATTTAGAAATAATTCTAAGATTTATTTTCTTGTCTTGTAAAGAGAGTGGAAAGGATATAAAAATTCCTATAACAATGACATTTTTAAATAATCTAGTTTAGATGAGATTAATTTTAAAAATTATTCTGGTTTTCTTGACAGTAACTGTTAAACATTGAAATGACCTTAATGCAGCTATTCTATAGAATAGGATTAAAACAACAACAATTTCTTTGGTATATCAGAAGCAAAATCAGTTTTATAAAAAATGCAGCATTCAATTAAAGTCTGTTTTGTCTCCTCAGACAATTCTGAACAGTCTATTTAAAAGCATAATGGCAAAAGTATTAAAGTGTGACTATGGACTCTAATGCTTCCATACTGCATTACTTTTCAAAAGTAAATTTAATAAAGCATTTTTCCAAAGCAAAAATTTCCAAAATACAAAATAAAAAGAAACATGTTTTTCATTAAGTAATCCTCCCCAAAGAGATTCAAAAATTAATGATAGCAATTCCAAGGGATGACTTGCTTTTTGTCACGAGGTTCAAGAAAAAAATTCCTCACCACGGAGACAGGGGGTAGTTCACTTTTTACTTCAGTTCAAGATTACCTCTCAAAGGTGAGTCCATTTTTGTAATTTCAGTGAAAGATTAAGGAAAAAAACCACAACTCGTGACTAATCCCAAAAGAAGGCATGTTGGGAGGATAGATATTTTGTTTTTTCCCCCAATTCCAATTGAAACCTCGTTTCCAAAATCGGTGAGTTTTCTTTATGTTAGATTTCCAGAGACTGGTTAACTTAGTTAAGTATGTTAATATTTCCTTTCTGAGAGTCTGTGTCTCACTAGCGTAGTCAGACTGTATGACGAAACTCGGAAGTTTTTGTATCAACCTTCCTGACTAAGAATAGTATAAAGAAAGTGTCATTATGTAATAAAGAGGTTTTGCACAGAGCTAGGAGCTATATCCCACTTTTGTTCCAATTATTTCACCAAGACTGGTGGGGAGAGCTTAGACAAAAAGTTATAGTTGACAAGTAGCATGTATGATTTAAAAGTTAAATGAAGATAACAATTTCAAGGAAGAAGCATGGAGCACAACTAGAATAGAAAACACATACAAAAAAAATGCTTCCTTTCTTTTGTTCTTTCTATATCAGATTCTTAACATCCTTTAAAGCCTGAAAATAACTAACCAATAATGAATCTAAATCAGCTCAAAGTTTTATTTCTAGACAACACAAAATGAGGAAGCAAGAAAGCTTATAATTTACAAACCAAATGCTGAGATAAGCCATTCAGTCTTGAATTAAAGGCTAATCTGACCTGTTATCTTTTTAAAAATCTGTTATTATCAGGATCCAGTGAATTTTCCACATTTCAAAGCTAGACTTAGAACTATCTTAGACGGTCCCAATCCTCACTTAGAGTACAGGACGTCCCAAAAATCTCAGGCAATTTTGACTTTAATAGATTAAAACTTCTAAGTCTTTTGGAACACCCTGGATAACACACAGATGCATGCTGTTGTCGTTATGCCACCATCAGACACTCTACCCTCTTGGTGCCCCCACGTCAGCTTCACACGCCACCAAACACCTACTTGATTTCATTCTTCAGAAATCTTGAGTCTGAGCTCAAAAATTTACTCAACTCTTGAATTTGCAGTAAATTTCAACACGTGAAATTTGTACTCTCACTCTCCAAATAAATTTGCTATAAATTAGTGATTTTCTACTACATCTTCAATCTCTTCTCACACATTAAATTTCTTCAGCCACTTAAGTATAACAAATGACAATGAAATAAATAATAAGCACCACCTCTGAAAAATGTTTACTCTCTTTTTTTTTCTTAACAAAGAAATAAAAACATACACCAAGTGTTAACAATGTCCTCTTTGCAAAATATCTCCCTAGTTGATGAGAAAGAATATTACCATACCCCCTATAACTGAGCAATGATTCAAGACTGGAGGACTGTTGCTTTTATTCTTTTTAAAGGGAACGTGGTGAGGTCTTTACTATTGTGAAAATATCTAAATTCTCCCCTTACTATTTCTAAATAAGAGCTACATATGTCAATAAATACCAATTTAAATCTGAGAAGAGAAAGGCTGGTGACTCTTCTCAAAAGGAGGCAGAAATAAATGGTAAACAAAAAAAGAAACAAAAAGGCATGAGAAAAGTAACTAAAGAAGGAAAACACCTCTAGCACCCACAATCCCAAACAGATCTTCATGATTTATGGGCTTGGGAAAGACCTAAGAAATCAAACAGGAATGTTATTTGCAGGTGGTTGTGCACTTTTGCCTTAAACTAATTTCAACTAGATGGGGCATACTGTGTCATTGTGATCATGACAGTTGAGTGCCGGACATAATGAGCAGCCATTTCATTGGCTCCTCTGACTACTGCTTTTTGGGGATGATGAGGTTTCTCAGCATGTCGAAAGAATTGCCATCTGGATGCACAGTCACAACATCCCCACCTTCCTGATGAACTTGAAGGAAGCCAGAATCATCGATGCCAACAATCCATACCATTGGCCCCTCATCGCTTCCGAGACGGACTTGCTGACCACTGTAGAACAAAAGTATGGAGTTAATTACTTGGAAATAATGATATAACATTTTAAGAAAACTAGTTAAGGCATACAAATGCATAAATCTTCACAATCTATGCAAAACAAAACTATGTTACAGTTATTTTGGAGGGGCTTAAGAGCTGAAATTTATCAGACTTTGTGAGATTTGAATTATTTTTATAACTAAGTAAAATAAAAAGACCAATAAAAATGCAAGAGTCATGAAGCTCTTCTCTTAAAGGTGATGTTCCTCTTCAAGTTTTTATATATTACATGATAATGATTTTGATAACCTATCCTTTGTTTCCTACACAATTGAAACTCTACCTAAAGAACTAAAAAAGATTTTTTTCAATTCCAGTTTTGTTCTGTTCTAAAAATAAAATAAATCAGGGCAGATGGGAAGATACGGAGAATTGAAAAAAATTAAATTCGAAAAAATTTGGAAAAAAAATTTTCTAAGAAGTTATTTAGAAAAGAAGTTTTCAGTGTGGAAGCAATTATGTGAGGGGGGGGGAAACCCGCAAATTAAACTGATTCTTCTACTATTTCTGATTAATATTATTATGAGTTTAAAAAAATAGAGATTTTATAAGATTACACGGCTGTTGCTTGAAAAATACGGTTTTAAATATCCAGGTGAATGCTTATAAGGCTCATCAAAATTGCCCTTTTATGAACTATTTCTCTGACAATAGAGCTAAGGAAGGAAGCTTAAAGAAATACCACCAACCTGTGCACCCAGTATTTATAATACAGAGGAAGAACTGCATTAGGTCCTTTATCCTGAAATGCGTCTATCAGTCTCTCCAACACAGTTATTGTTCTTGCAATAAGATAATCCACACGGAACAGACTTAGATTTTTATTATGTCTCTTATTATATTCTATGATGAGATCATTGATGCATATAGTAGGGTTGCTGTTATTCACATTAAGTCCACAGCCTGAAACAACAACAAATAACAAATCAAAAGAAAGACACAAACAGCTCCTCTAATTCTCAGGAAATCACTATTGGAAAATAAATGGTTTTACATTGAAATCAGCTGGAAAGATGATTTCTTTCCTCCCCCAAATTAGATGTCTAAGCATTACATTATCTTTCTTACAATTCCTGCTTCTTTCCCTTTTGCCTCAACCTGCACAGCATTTTTTTCACTCTGATCATCTGGAGAAAGACTTTCTGATGCCATTTTCCTTTTCACATCCCTTTTTTCCCCTTGATAATTGTTACCATCCTAATATCTCCTACTCATATTCACTGTTATACACAAAAGTCTTGTTGGAAAATGATAATTTGAGGCAGAAAAGCTGAAATGGATTCATCTTGAAACTGAAGTTCCTCACGATGGAGCAGGTAAACAAGTTTCTCAGCATTACTTCTGACTGTAGTTGAGGTGATAAAACTAAGAGCTCCAGACCAGGCCAAATCAGACAGAAAACAAGATCGTCAGCTAGTCTTCCTATGTCACCAGAGCACGTATTTGGAAGTGGAGACTTTTGCCAGAAAAGCAATTTCTGGCTCAGCTGAAAAACCCAGGGGATTCAAACCTTGGTCACGACAGGACTTTATACTAGATTTCTTTTCGTTTCATTGTAACATCCTTTGGAAGTCTCCCATATCCCCCTGAGATCCCTGGCTATGAATGACAATGATAATGTCCCACGTCAACCTTCTACGAAAACTTTGTGCTGATCTTCCTTTTGCCCATCATTTGTTAGTGTTCTTGCCTTCTTTAAATCAGTTTACAATTACTTACCTTTGTGTATGTTTTATCCCTCAATAAAAGGTAAGTTTCATGAGGGCAAAGAATGTTTTGGTCTGGTATTTTCTCCCATGTGCCTAGCATGGGATGTAGTGGGTGCTTGATAAGTGTTTGTTGAATTGAATTCAAATGGTGCCAACCATAGATCACACTGACTTTTATCTCACGATTTTACAAACATTTTCACTTCACTGGATTAGGAATAAAATCCTGTTTGCTTCACCCCATGCTGGCCAATTTGAGAATCAAAGACTGAGAGAAAATGGATTTTTCCAGATTCTGTAATAAGTTCTAGGCTAGTTCAAGATGAAATAAGACATTCTCAGTTTACCTCAACTTATTTACCTGCTGAGCCTGAATTTCACAGCAAGAACACAAGTATTATTTCATTATCATCCAGAACACAAGTATTATTTGTGGTGCTGTTCTAAAGGAAAGTGTACCCAACACATTTAATTCATATTTAGTCCATGTTGGAACTCAGCTAATATTAAAAGATCAGTAATTAATGGGAACATCTTCTAACAATTACATAGTATACTTATTAAGTTTAAATATAGTCTGTTGCAAATCTACCTAGTCAAACTGGAATAAATGAGTTCTAGTCCTGGCAGAGAGACTGAGGCAAAGAAAAAAGTATGACTCTGAGGCTGCTGAATCTACCCAGGTTGTAGGTAAGGATGAATGTCTTTTACAAAATTAGGGCAGTTTGCAAGAGGTCAGGAAGTGAGTAGGAGATGAGGAAGTGGAGGCAATGAGTGCAAATGACTTTTCTGCTGTGAAGATAAGTTTGGCTATGAAAAGAGGAAGCAAAGGAAAACAATGAGATGGCAGGGTCAGTGAAGATTTTTTTTAAGGATAGGAGAGACATGGGCATGTCTGTAGGCAGTAAGGAAGGAACCAGTGGATAAGGAGTTATTGAAGATGATAGAGCTAGAAAAGGGATGGGATCAAAGACACAAAACAAGAAAAGAGATTCCAGAGCACAAAGAAAGAGGTAGGCAGAGGAAGATGGAAACTAGGGAGAGGTATGACTGAGATGGACAGAAGAGAAAGAGCAGTCAGTGGCAGGAGATAGATGCAGACACTGAATTATAAAGTCTTGAGGGAACGAGATAGGAATTTATTGATTGGTTGTTGTCCTTTGTTCTCGAAGAAGACCAAAATGATATCACTACGTTGGGGTCAAGGTATAGTGCATCCAACTGGGACAGATCAGACCAACACAAGCAGTGGCCCTACCATAGGTGGGACACAATTAGTCCATAAGAACATTTGTAGTGGAGATGTCTCTAAATTTGTGCATCTCCCAGTTTTGAGCCACTGCAATTCTGCTTTGCTCCCAGAGCACAGTGCCTTCTTTGATGTGGGCAGTCCATGTCTCAGAATCGATACCAAAGTTCTTCAGAGAGACCTTGAGGGTCCTAGTGTTGCTTCTTCTGATCTCCATGTGAGTGCTCTCCATAACAGTCTTCTGGCAAACATACGTGCAGCATTCAAACAATGTGGCTTTTTACTAGCCATGCGATGGCAGAAAAACCAATTGACTGTGATCTTCTAGGACAATGGTTTCCATATTTTTTGATAAAAAATTTTTTCCTGTTAGGTACTCTGATCAGGGTTAGATTGTAACTGTCCTGAGACCAATGATTGGCTCAAAAGGTTTGGAGTTTGTACAACAGTGGAGAAGAAATGAAGTTTTAAGCTTCAATGGGTGAAGGGGGAGTTCTAAGCTTCAATGCGTGAAGGGTAGATATTACTGTATGATAGGCAAGCCCGGTGAGGGGCTATTTTGGGAAGGATGGGAAGTAATTCATCTTTCCACCTTTGACTGATCACATTCCATGGCCCCTCACATCGCCCTGCCTCCTACTTTACAGACCACTGCTCCAGGGCCACAGATGGCCATTACAGTCCCTTTTAACTCTGAAATAACATGATTTTGTGGTATTATGATGGATGACTGTCTCAGACAATATCTTCTCAAACAGTAGGTATTAAACCAGCAAGGAAATCAGGTTAGGAATCTGAAATAATAAACATCTAGTGATCAGGTCTTCAAGAAGCTGACTGAACTCATATATGGCATCACTTTCTTTGGCACATCTCAGGGTGACAGGTTATGATACACTCAGAAAATACTCTAGTTGGCTCCTATTTCCATCTGTGGTCTGAGGCCCTGGCCTTTGGAAAGGGCCCTTGCAATAAGGGACCAGAAAACTGGGCATTCAAATATTATGAAGGATCAAAACACTGAAGTAGAGCATGGAAGTTATTTGCCTCCACATTGAGCAGCAAGTCCAGAGGAGGTCCTTGAATCCAGTTGCCAAGAGGGGCTAGGGCTAGACTTCTACTCTCTCATGTCCATTTGTGGAAAAAGGTAAGAAGAAGGTAGGGGGCAGGACTTTGGTGACAGAGGCAAAAAAGTTGGAGGAGGAGGACTCCAAACTGGACCCCAAGATGGGCTTGACACCCATAAATACCTTCCATGTGACAGCAACTTTGCTCCTGATCCTAGGCTCTCAGATTTACTAATCTGGTAAATTTCAAAGGACTGTATAAATTATTTAGGAACTCCAAACTTCTTAAGTAATCTCCTAACTGACCCAGTCTCTTCTCATATCAGTATCTTGTTCAGTGAGCATGGAGATAAAAGAAAATAAAAGCTAGAGACTAAATGGGATGATAAACTGAAAATGGCCAATGCATAATCTACTTTTACTTTCTACTTGAAGATAATTGTAATATATTATTTCCAAAATGCTGGCAAAACAATGTAAAAACTCACCAATAAGTATATAAAAAGTTGTTCCCACAAGCGTTGAGTTGACCAAAACTCCACCAAGCTTCATTTGATCACTGTAGTAGATATCATTGGGCCACTTTACTCGTAAGTTGATATCCTATAGAAAAACTCATACATTAATCATAGGCTCATTTGGTTTGAAGGGACCTTAGGACACCAACTAGATAAAAAGCAAACTTGGGTGAATCATCTTGAAACTCATATACTCTGGGACCTACTGTTCCCTCCTTCTCATAATCCAACATTGGGCTCAAGATACCTCATGGTATCTTGAGGCAGACGCAGACTTAGAAAAGTTATTTAGAACCAACCTCAGTATCTTCTTCCCTTGTCAAAATTCATTATGATTAAAAACAAAAACATTAAAAAATCCTCAAGAAAACAAAAACAAAAATGAAAAAAAAACCCAATAACTGAGACTACCCATTGTGTTAGAGGCACCATTTAAAATAATAAAATACTCATGAATTTGAATATTCCTTCCAATGATGAAGATCATTGTCTATCCTATTTTACTCTTGTCCAATGCATTTGGTAAAGAAGATGCACCCAACGTACTAAGGGCTTTCTTCATTTTCTCATATCTTACAAGTACTGATGGAACATTTAGCCTGCTCTATCATTCCTCTCCCTCACCATATGATCAGCCCATTTCCTTTTTCTATCATACATTTCCTTTACTCCTGTTCTCCAAAGTTCCTTATTTACTATGTTACATCCAGTATTTACTTATCACGTGCCTCCTCAATGTACTGTATAATATTAATTTAAAATTCTTTAGAGACTATTGTGTTCCATGTTTTGCAGTCAAGTAATAACATAGGTAGACTGTTAGTATTAAAAAAAAAGATCTTTGTTTCTGGAGAAGTTTGGGGTCATTAAAGGAACTTTGCAATTTCCTGAAGGCAAGCCAGCCTGCTCTTCTCTGTGCCTTTGCTCAAGTTGTTTTTCCCTAATATCTAAAGCCTTTTGTCTCTCTCCCGTGTTTCTCCTGAACTATACTTTCTCATATATTTCAGTCCATTCTCATCTGCTCCTACCTTTGCATTAAAGTATCAGTGTATGTCGATTTGATTTGTAAGTTCTTATTTGGAAAAAATAAACACCATGAAAATAATCACAGTTTATGCTTTAACATCAGTTGCTGAGGACAAAGTAGTACAGAAGTTCTGTGAATATCTGGCTAAGACCCTAAAGTCACACCACATACACTCTGATTCTATAACATAAAAAAATTAATAAAATAAGATTTTGTAGGCATCAAAGACAAAAAAATTCATGTTCCATGGGGTCAAACTCGTTTCCAGTTTTTCCAGGTGTTCTTGTTAAAAAGAGAAATAATAAATAAAACAGATTGTGTAAGCATCAAAGGCAAAAAATGCACATCAATCAGAATAAATGAAAGGAAAAATTAGAATATAACATCATGAAATGAAAAGAAGATCAAATGGCACTCAGAGACTGGCTTCCTTTTAGTGACTGTTTCATTTATGTTGTTGTAGATATTATGTAAATTTTTCTTTGATTTTGTTTTGTTTCTTTTCATTGTTCATTAGGCCATACAAATCTTCCCTGATTTCTCTGAGTTATTACTTATAAATGCTTGCTGTAAAATATCCTATTTGATATATTTTGATATAATCATATATGTGATCAAATACCATAATTTTATTATCCATTTTCCAATCAAGGATCACCTACTTTGTTTCTAATTTTTTGCCCCCCAAAAAGTTCTTTTAAGAATCTTTTGGTATCTATATTGAACCTCTGTTTCTGTCTTTGACCTACTTGAAATAATTACTTAGAAGTGGAATTATTGGTTCAAGAGTATGTATAGACAGTTTAGTTACATTTCTCACAGAATTCCAAAATAATAGGTAGAATAATTGAACAAATTCACAACTCTACCAATGATGTATTAGTGTACCTGTCTTTATAAAATCCCTCTACCACTGACTATTCTCATCTTCTGTCATATTATCCGATTTATACTTGGAGTTGTTATAATTTACGTTTCTATTAATATTAGTAATTTGGAGCACATTTTCAAATATTGGTATGTAGCTTAAAACTCTTCTTTTGAAAAAATGGTCATATTCTTTGATCACTTATCTAGTTGGAAATTGGCTTCTGGTGTTATAAATTTAAGTCAATTTCATATAAATCATGGATGTCAGCATTATGTTGGTGATATTTGATGCAAATATTTTTCCATTATGCAGTTTCTCTTTTACTTCTATCCTCATTAATTTTATTTATGCAAAAGATTTTTAATTTACTTAATTCAAATGATCTATTCTTTCTTTACTCTTTATCCCTTGTTTGATTGAAGTTTTTATTTTTTTGTAATTAAAATGATCTATTCTATCTTTATTTATTCTATCATGTGTTTGGTTAAGAATTCTCCTCTCTAATAGGTACTTGCTCTTTATCCCTTTTAATTTTCTTACGATGTGATCTTTTATATTTGAATAGTGGATCCATTTTAAGTTTATTTTTCTGTAAAGAGTAGCGTTATTTATAAACCTAATTTTTGCCAAACTGGTTTTCAGTTTTTCCAGGAGTTCCTGTCCAAAAGAGAGCTCCCCAAATAGTTCTTGAAATTATTGTCGCTGGTTTTTTGTTTCTCACTTTTCTAATATATTTCACTGATCTATTTTTTAAAAAAGTAACAGTTTTGATGACTACTGTTTTGTAATTTAGTTTGAAGTCTGTTAATTCACATTTTTTCATTATTTCCCTTGAGATTCTAGACCTTTTGCTCTTCCAAATGAATTTTTGTTACTGTTTTAGTTAATAATAAAGTAAGCCATTGGTGGTTTATATGGCATCGAAACAGCAAATTAATTTTGATGTTATCATTTTTATTATATTGCCCAAGATCAACTATGACCAGTAATTATTTCTCCACTTGTGCATATTTTTATTTCTGTTGTGTTTTGTAGTTGTAAATGTTGGGTGTGTATTGGTGGATTAACCATAAAATTTTATGCATTATATAGTTATTTTGAATGGAATTTTTTTTTGTCATCACTTCTTCCTAGTTTGGTAGTACTGATTAGAAATTCTGATAGGTTTTGTAGGTTTATTTTGTATCCAGCTACTTTACTGAAGCTATTAATTTTCTCAATGAGTTTCTTTGTCCATACTATGGGATTTTCTGATGTCACATCATTTGCAAATAGATATCTCCTCCTGGCTGATGTTTACACCTTCAACTTTGTTTTCTTGTCTAATCTGTTGTGATCATAATGTCTAACACTTTGTCAAACAGCGAGAATATTGGTTAGCTCTGGACTGTATTGGAAAAGCTACTCGTGTTTCTCCATTGCAAATAATGCTAGCTTTTGGTTTTAGATTTATGCTTTTAATCATGTTAAAGACTCTCACATGCCAATGTAAGTTCTGAGTTTTGAGAAAAGGGCTTTTTTGCCTCTGTTGAAATAATCATGTGATTTTTTGTTTTTTCCTGTTGATGTGATTAAGGCAGAGTGTCCTAAGAGATACAGAGACAGTCTAGGAGCTAGGAAGACCTACTTTTAAACCCTGCCTTTGAAATATTCTGGTTGTATGACATTGGGTAAATCACCCTAACCTTTTGGTTCCCCAAGTAACTTTCTTAACACAATTATGTTGCAGAATATTGGAAGACTTCCATTCATAGAGAAAATTTCCCCACTTCTTTATACTAAATGAAATCACAGGTATGGATAAAAAAATATAATATACTGATTGTTTTCCTTACATTTATCAATGTTCTAGTATTTTAAAAAAACAAACTTTGGTTTTTGTTAGTTCTACAAATGTTCCTCCTCCCCTCATTTCTCTATCTCTCCTTAAATTTTCAAGGATCATGCATCTGTACATTTTGGGGTTGCTAAATAACATATAAGTTTAAAATATATTTTGAAATATGAATTTATTTTATAGTTTTTTAAAGCTGCATGGTCGGTTAATTGATCTCTTTCTCAGTTTTAACTCAAATTTTCAGAGACATACATTTCTTCTGAACTGCTTTAACAGCAGCCTCTAAGTTTTGGTATGGTGTCTTTTTGTTAATGTTAACTTTAATGTAATTATTGGTTCCAGGATTTGTTCTTTGAACAATTATTCAGGATGTCATTACTTAGGCTCCATTTAGGTCTACATATTTTACTCATGTTCCCTCTACTAATTATTATTTTTATTGAGTCATAATCTGCAAAGAGTATGTTAATTATTTTTGCTTTTAATAAAGTTGATGTCTTAGAAAATGATCAAGTTCTGTAAGGATACTACAGAAGGATGAAATATATTTATATTCTTTAATAGTCACATATATAAACACACATGTGCATATGACACATAAAAATATGGAGTTCACTGTCTATGGTACCGTTAAGTATAATATGCTTTTCTTGTTTGTCTCTCTTGGCATTATCAATTTTTGTTGTCGCCTTACCTGAACCCATATGATTAAAATTCATGCGTTGTGGAAGCACCTAAAACATGATGGATTTGGTTCTACCCAAACATTTTCACTCTGTTTTAAATTATTATATAAAATATGTCATACATACATTTTAAATTGTTTTTTAATTAATTTAAAGCTATCTTTGCAGTTGCTTTTAGTTTATTGGAAAATTTATTCATTCACATTTAAGGTTATAATTGTCAAATTTCTATTTTCTTCCATTAAATATTATATATATATGTATGTATGTATGTATGTATGTATATATGTATACATGTGTATCTCTCTCTCTCTCTCCCCCCTCCCTTGCTCCTCCCCCTAGTCCTGAGTCAACACTCACCTAAGACTGCTAAGAAGCACAAGGACATACTACCACTGATGGCACCATTCCCTTCTCCCTCAGCCCTGGGTCACCCAAGAATCCATCCTAAAAGGCTGGTCAGCAGAAAGGCCCACCACCATTTGGGCAACAAAGATGAATTCCCTGGCAGATGGGCAGAACAGGCACAAAACTGCCCCCCGGGGCAGGGCTCTGGGGGAATGTAGGGGTCTTCTGGAGTGTCCAACTAACACTTGTGGCACATCTTTTGAGAACTACTGTCTTTCAGTTTATACAAACTGTTTTCCCATTTTTTGAACTGTTCCTTTTTGAGAACATTACAGTTATTTCCCCATATATACTCTATTAAACCTTCCCTTGTAATAAAGCTAAATGACTAACGAAAGAGATGGTCAAAGTACCACAGGCCTACAGTGTCTGCAACATTCCATACCTCTCCTCTACCAAAAGGAGAGATGCTCTTTGTTCTATGGAACCAAAATCATTCATTGCAATGAGTTTGTGTTTAGTTGCCTTTTAGTGTTAGTCACTCTCTATTGCTTTTTTTGGCTTGGCTCTCTCCATTCTTTATCACTTCATGCAAATTTTCCCAAGTTTCTCTGAATTCTTGAACTAAATGACCTATAACATCTCTTCCAGCTCTAAACCTATGAATCTGTGATCCTGTGTCAAACTGTCCTAAATTTTAGATTTTATTTTTGCCAAACATAAACCCACAGGATACAATGGACACATTAATTAAGCTCATCTATAAAAATCTTTGTAGTAATACGCATTTCAAACTTTTTCAAGCCACGAAGTTAAAGCAAGGTCAATTAAAAAAAATCAACCAACAACCAATATCCACTTCTGAGTGCAATATTTTATTTCTTTTCTCAAGTGCTAAACTCATTACTTTGTTCTATTCCTGCTAGTATTAAAATATTTACTCCCGCTACAAGATTTTATAGTCTCAGTTTTCAAAGTGAAAATTTACAGTCCAAGCTCTGAAGCCTGGATGTTAAAGGCATGTAACTGAACACTTACACTCCAGCAGCGCTAGTAGGTGCTACAATAAATTTCATGTGTAAATGTGTATGTCATTGATTTGATATAATATAGGAAACATATGTCTGAGTTCACTACTTCTGTAAAATGCCAAAGTTTTACAAGTAGCAAATATTAGGAAATGGTAACATTAAAAGGGAGTTATAAGGAGATGAAGATGACTGATTCTTCATTTGAACACTGATTTTCTCAAGAGACACACTCTTAATTGTTTGCCTCAGAAATGACACAAGGGCATTTCAACCAAAAAATAAGTGACAGGAAAAAAATCTTTTTTTGAATGAAATGAAATGAAATTCTCCCGGTAAGATTTGGGGAACAAAAGGGAAAAGAAAGTTTGTGGAACCAAGGGAAACTGGGAAGAAAGGAAGCAATGTGTTATTCATTTTCTTGACCCAGTCTTAGTCACATAATTGGAAACAATGCAACCGACAAAGACAACGTAGCAGGCAAATTCGCCTTTATAGCCAGTAAAAATGGTCACAAGTGAGCCTGGCTGCTTAAATCTCAGTAAGATATATAAAGGATATATTCCTAATGAATAGACTATGGTGAATAAAAGGTAGAGAATGAGAATCTTTTCTTTAAGTCTATAAAATAAACTTATTTGCCAGGAAAAAAAATCAAATAGCTTCCACCCAGCCCACTACTTAAATGAAAGATGGCTTTCCATGCTTGGGAAGTCTGTGAAATCTGGCTCTGCAAAGGCAGAACAGAGTAATTCCAGAGAGTGAGGAAATCCTGTAAAGCCTGAGATAGCAGTAAGGCCAATAATACTAACAATTTACCAAGCTCCATCTCCTTTGGGCTCTGTATAGATCAAATTTAGGGTATGTTGATCAAGTCTGAAAATTTATACAAAAAAAAACCAAAACCTGAAAAGTCCCTAAAAATGGTTACACAAAAGCGATTTAGAAATGTACCTGATACTCAGGAATGGATCGAACTGCCTCCACTACTGCCAGAGACATCAAGTGTTGAACATATGGAATTCTCTGCCCCAGATGAGAATATAGGGGGATATGGATGTGTAAGGTAGAAAGAGAACATCCCACAGGACTAAGCCAGACATTACCACCACGACCTGGGGAGGAAAGAACCATTAGGAAATGTTTTGTTTTGACATACATACTACACCCTTCCCAACACACACATTTATGTTTGCGTGCATAATACATGAACTACAGTATTTTAGTGGTCTGTGGTCTCATCAGTGTGGGTACACCTTTTGCTAATACAGATGGCTCTTCTTGCATATCTTCTCATCCTTTGCAATTCTTATCTTTGTCTTTCTTTAAAGCTGAGGAATTTTATCTGCAGACTGAAGAAATATTCAACCATAGGAAAGCACTGACTACCTGAAATACTTTAGGGAAAAAGATCTTCTAGTTAGTTGAACTGTCACTTCCACGCTATGATGAGACATCAGAATAGGAAATTAAAGTAAGATTAAATTATGTGCTTACTAAAGGCAGGATATAATAGTAACATTTTTAGAAAGATTGTTCACTAATAGCAATTGAAATAAAAATTTTCACTTAATCTTGAGTTCTGTACACATGTGCCTCATTACCACTGTACTTTAAGTTTCTACTACTCCCCCCCTGAGCCCTGAGTGTATTTGTGGGAGAGTATGCTTCTGATGTTGGGAGAAATGCTTTGTAATTACTATTTTTGTTATACCATTTGAGCTAACAATTTTGACAAAGTAATAAGTCTACTGGCTGATTGTTGAAGGAAAGCACACTGCTGGGGGCATATCAACTAGTGTTCAGCAAGATAGCCATCCACAGGATTACTCCTAGAACCCTGGAAGAAGCATTATCCATTCCTCTGGGGATGCATCTGTCAGTGGCAGTGTGAGTTGAGTTAGTGAGCCCCAAAGCGAAGGTATTACACTTCTATACGTACATGCTGTCTCCTCTATTAAAATGTAAGTTCCATAAGAACAGGGACTCTTTTGCTTTTTCTCTTTAGGCACTTAGTGCAGTGCCTGGCTCATCGTAGGTGTGTAATAAATGCTTGTTGATTGATGATTATTTTTTATAACATTTCTTGTAAAGTGCCAGATAGCTCTCCAAAAAGACTCTAGAAGTTTGCAATTCCAACAACAATGAATGAGTATACCTGTTTCTCCACAGTCCCTCTTGCACTGAGTTTTACTGCTTTCAATTATTGTGTGAAGTAGTATACCTCTAGGTTGTTGTAATTTGCATTTCTCTGATGAGTGAATTTGAATTTTTCTAAGTATTTATTAACATCTGCATTTTAATAATTGCCTATTCATATCCTATGACTATTTAGCCAATATAAACATTACACTTAGTAAATATAAAAATTTATAAATTTTAAAAAGGTCCTCATGTAATTCAGACCTCAATTTAAAAACTACGTATATGCCAAAAAGGTTTTTTTAACCAACCTTTTCCTTTTGATTATATTGTTACAAGCATTTAAAAAATTTTAGTGTGATTAAGCACATCTGTTTTATATCTAATAATTCCTTCTATTTGTTGAATAATGGGGGAAAGTTATTTCTCTTCCACAATTGAGACAAGTACACTATTCCATTTTTTGCATTCTTTATGTAGTTATTTTTCATAATTATGTCCATCAACAACTGGAACTTACTGAGGCATATGGTGTGGGATGTACACCAAAATCCATCTCCTGTCAAGTGGTTAGACAGTTCTGCCAAGTATGTTTGTCAAAAGCTGAGGAAAGGATTCATTATTATTTTCCATAAATTTGTCAAACATTAATCGTTTTTATATTTGGCTGGGTGTCTGCACTCTCTTGCATTCATCCACTTATTTTTTATCTGTTGTGAGTTTTGATGATGACCAGTTTGTGTTCTATTTTAAAGACTGCATTTCTTTTGTAATAGAAGAAATAAATAACTGTCATAATCTAATATTTACTAGTGTATACAATGGGTAATTTTTCCAAAAGAGACTTTATTAATTACTTTTGGGAAGACTCTACTAGGCATCATTCAAAACTAAGCTCTGCTTAAGGAGGTTTTCCTGGAATAATTCCAAGTAGGAATGGAAAAATTGAGTGTAAGGAAAAACCTGATTAATTTTCTTTGGTACTAATACCAAAATACTTCCTTAAGACTGAACCTGGTCCACTTGAGCCTAAAGCGAGGTCCCTTTGTGGGTAGAGGGGCCCACTGGGGCTGCAGGTGACATCTTGCTACAAGAAGGTCCTCCCATTGGGCAACCAGCAGCCAAACATGCTAATTACTCTGGTCCCTTGAGTTCCTGAGATAGCCACTAAGGATAGAAACATTAATCTCTCAAAATGAAAGAAACATAAAGCAGAAGAGGCAGTTAGGGCCTTGAGATTCAGTCTCAGGATCTCCTAGACAAATAAATGCAATGGTTGCCATGTGTATATATTCACCAAAAAGTTTCTGGGGAAAGGAAGGGGGAGAGAAATTCTTTATTTGCTAACAGTCCAAGGGAGAGTTATTGGAGTTCCAAGGCACATACTCTAAGGAAGGGGAGAGAAAGGAAGATGGATGCTTAGTTTTCTCCTTTTAGAGACTACAAGTAGCTCTTTCTTGCTTAGTCACAATTCTCAGTCATGGGGACTATGCAGGAGCTCCTGGTCACAAATGTATTTAGCAAGGGAAATATGACATAATGATTTTCTTTCCCATTCTACCACCCCTCTTCTAATCCTAGTTGTATTAATTTTATCTGTGCCTATGCTTTTCAGTTTGATATAATAAAAAAATCAATGTATCTATTTTATATTTTGAAATTGCCTCTATCCCTTGTCGGAATTAAGAATACACATTCTACCCATAGCTATGGGAGATATATCATCTGTTTCTAATTATTTTTATAGTACAATCTTCCCTCCAACCCCCATTTGCCTCATGATCTCCTCCCTGGGTCCATGCTCTCCTACTTCCCTGGGTGCCAGATGTCCCTAAGAGTTCCCACTTTGTTTCCTGAGGTAGGGCGAGTAGACTTTTCAAGCATCAAATCCCCTAGGTCACACCCAGAGTAAAGTCCTCATATGCCCTCACAAAAACATTCATCAGGGGCAGCTAGGTGGCGCAGTGGATAGAGCACCGGCCCTGAAGTCAGGAGGACCTGAGTTCAAATCCAGCCTCAGACCAAACAGTTGACACTTACTAGCTATGTGACCCTGGGCAAGTCACTTAACCCCAGTTGCCTAAAAAAAAACAAAAACAAAAACAAAAAAACAACCAACCAAAAACATTCATCAGAGGAACCCCCTCCCACCACCAAAGAAAGACCTCCTTTCTCCCCACCCCACTTTTCAATCCTTCCCTCCTCCTGATCACCCACAACATAGAAAATAATTGAAGAGAAGTGCCCAGAACTTCTCAACATAGAAAATGAAATACCAGTCAAAAGAATTCAGAGATCACCCTCCTGGAGGTGGGCTGAGGGGGAGACACAGAGTGCTTAAATTTAACAACTTAATTCAGAAAGAGATTCTGCAAGTAATCAGGAGAAAGTCCGTAAAATACTGTTGTGTTCTTCTGGGAGAACTTTAACCCCAGCTGTCTCTCTGCATCCTGTCTGAGAGATGAGTATGTTTTCCTTGCATAGTGAGTTTATTTTCTTTTAAGGGTTTTTTGTTTTGTTTTTTGCTTTTCTTCTAGATTGTCCTTCACTTCTGTATGTCTGCATTCCCAATCCATTGTTTTTTCTTTTGTTTCTCTGGCGAGACTTCTGATTGAAGATTCCAATTTTTCTATTCTGTTCATTATATTTGGTATGCAGGCCACAAACTCAGCTTTCATAATTCTCATTTCTCTTTTGAACCACTCAGGAACAGCATTTCGTGGTTCCAATTTCTCGTATTCTACTGAGTCCTCTGTCTCCTCAAGTGTTGGATCATTTTCCTTTATTTTGCAGTATTTTTTCATAGATGCATGAACTTGTTTATTAGATCAGGAGGCCAGTGGTTAATTTTTTTCTGTTGATTTACATATTTATGTTCAAGATCTTTGAGTTTTCTTCTTCCTGAGATCTTTGGTAATTTCATTCTTCCCCCCCTCACCTCACTCTCCTTTATTTCCTCTACTAACTTCCTGACTCTTCTTTCCAGTTCCTTGAGGGCTGGACCTCAAAGCATCTCAGCCTCCTCCCACACAGGATAACTCATAGTTCACCAAGTTAGGTCTCTGCCCTGAGACTTTCAGGAATCAGATTTGACCAGAGCTGGACGCTGGGCTCTATCGCTTGGGCTTAGAGGAGTGCTACATAGCACCACCCCCTGGTCACACACACACACAGAATATCTTGTCTTGGCATCCTTCCCCGCTCCCTCTGGACAGTTCAGAGAGAGAGGCCATTCAAAGCTTGCTTGCTGCTATGGAGTTGTGACCCCCAGCAGGCTCTTGCTCCTGAAGTGCTACTGCCTGCTGTGCTATCTATCTCTGCTTGAGCAAACTCTCACAGCCTGGAGCTGGGGTCTCCGTGGCATTGGAAAGAGAAAGGGGGACCAAAGTGTGGGCCTGGGTTTCCCTGCTAGCCCAACCAATGTGCCTACTAGTGTCCTTGGGTCTACTAGTACAGGCTCATTGTCGCTGGTGTGGGAGAGAGAGAAAAGGTACTGAGTGAGCACAGAGTCAGTTTGCGGATTTTTTTTTTCATTTTTTTTTTAACCTTCTTTAGGATTTTAAGTGTCCTAGACCAAGGAGATAGCTGAATTGCTTTTTCTTTGGCATGTCATTTGTTTTGGAGAGGTCTGAGAAATTGTGCAGATCAGAAAAAAATGTCTAGTCCTCCATCTAGTCCTCCCATGACTCTGGTATGATCTTTAATATTATAAGGCTGGGTATCCATTTAGAATGTCTAAGGTGTTGATCTAAGTCTACTTTCTGCCAGACCGCTTTCAAAGTTTCCTACTAGTTTTTTTTTTTTTTAAGGAAATGGAAAGTTATTTCCAAGGTAATTTATGCTTTCCAGTTTATCTAATAGTGGGTTATGGAGTTCCATTGTTTCTGATTCTCCATTGTCTAATCCATTCCACAGATCTACCTCTCTATTTTTAAACTGGTACCAGATGGATTTGATGACTAATATAGGTTGA